TTGCGAATGCCTCCAGAAAGGAAGGCTAAGCAACTGTTCCTTGCAAATCTGACCGGCAGAAGGCCCAGGGAATGGCCAAGATTAACCTGGTGCAAATATACAGAAAGGGTTTCTTCCAGTAAGCCGAACCTCAGACTCTGGTAGAGGATCGAAAAGGTTGGAATCTCTGCCTGACGAGTCTGCCTCCGGGATTCGAAAAGAGAAGCGGTCATCGATGACGAAGATGAAGATATACCAAAGACAGAGTCCGCTGCTAGGTACGTTTCTATAAAAGATAAACATTGCAGGTATAAATGGTGTCAGGGTGATGAAATATAGAGCTGTTTGCCTCTATCCAGCAGTGGATTCATTTGATTGATAACAAATGTCAGTGGTATGCGAAATTCTTGAATCTTTTCACTATCACTACCTTTGTTTTCTTCACCGATGAAATCTGAAGGTTTCGATTTTCAATTCCTCCATTCTTTCGTTCCTTCCCTCATTCAGTCATTCCTTCATTGATTCATTAACTCATTCTCCCATTTAGACGACTTCAAAGACGACTAAAGCCACCGTCATGTTTTCCAGGTAAAATAATGTCCGCGAGACAAGGATTGAAATGTTGGCAATGGTTTATCATCCAATAAATCAATACTTTACGTTATATATGAATAAGTCCCGTTAATGTTGTATCTATGTACGACTACCACGGTCTGAAAAGTATTTTATTAGTATTTCATCTTTGCACCCGTTGTATGAAACTTGTCATGACCATTCGCTCAATGACCCATCTGTGTATGGTCAAGCAACATCCAACAATGATGAACGGTTCATAAATGATTGATCGATTATATAGGACTAACCTCCGTTTCGACACCAATAGCCAAGAAAGCTGCATTTTTGGTAGCATCAAATCATTTTGGCATTATAACGTGTGAACTCTCATTTTCTTCTCAAAAAAGTGAATCATTGCTTTTTTTCGTCCACAGAAAGACAACGGTCTTTTCTGAGTTTTGCCCAGTCAGAATATTCGCTCTATCGACTGAAATACCCTTGTCTGTTCAATAAATATTTATGCTTGAATGGCGGTGGCAATGTAAACTGAAATTCTGAGTAATCTCTACCTTGATGCGGCAAAATCATAACCCTGAAGCACGCATGACATCCATGAATATTAAATGAAGAGCGGGCGGGTTAAAGGCTTTTATTTATTTATGCAAGGTAGCGATTTACGGCGAACGACCAACCTGCAAGGCAGATCGCCCGTGATCAGTCATCTATCAAAGGTTATAAAACAAAACATTCATTACAAGGTTCATGACTCATCGCCATGGCGTCATCAAAACTTGTTTGCCTACATTTTGTTGAATAAAGACCTTTTGCCAATAACGGATGACAATTAATGTCTTTTTTAATGATCATTTTATGAGCTCTGGCTTACGGGTTTTAATTATCGTCTTTCTCATAATCAGCCTTCTTCGATCAACTGCTTGATGAAGGCTTCTTCAGTACGGCACCACTTGTTTCTGTCTTTTGCCCTTTCTCTCCATCTCGAACCATCAAAAGTTTTCAGCTCATTTTGGCGTCGATCCACAAATCTTCTCCATTTGCTCTCCCTTTGAATCCGGTGTAAAGTGTCTCTGGTGCAGCAAAGGTCTCTTCTTTGTGTAACGCGTCCTGCCCATCGCTACTTTAAATTCTTCACCCAGGACCAAGAAATTCCAGACTGTTGTTTATATTTTTACCTATTAATTCTTGCTCTGTCTTTTCTTGTTTTCAACGTACATTCGACATTCTAGGTTGCGTAATCTGCTCTTTCTGAACATCTTTCGGTCCTAGGGCACGTAATGGTCGAAAACTTTTCTTCTCAAGCAGAAAGGCAGTTTCCTGGACAAGAACTCAAAAAATCTTCTTGAATTCACTTACTCGGTTCTCTGTTGTAAAAATCAGCTTTACCAAAAAAACGTGGTTTTCCCACGGCCGTTCACGAGGGTCAATGTTTTTTGAACATGGCCTAAATCTTCTTCAGATTCATTTTCAGTCATATTTTGGTGCCCTCGTTGTTAGGTCTTGGATGTTGACCTTGAGCTAATTAGCATATCGACTGCAAATAGTGGATCGCTTAAGTGGTACCCATTTATGTTGAGTCAAAAAATTTTCCAAACTGAACGTTTTGAAAAAACTTTCAGGGAGGATCTGAAAAACTTATCGATATTGCGCATCCGTGCTTTTTGCGTAATGCAGGTTCTGATTTTGAGTTTGTCTTTGGTCTCAGAGAGTTTCACAGGCAGCATCATTCTTATAAATCACTGCGATGAGATTTCTGTATTTTTTTTAGATCCCTTACCTCCTCAAGGAATCCAGTGCAGAACGGATGTAGACCTTGTCAAAAGTTTTCTAGAAATCGATCAACCCCGGATAGAGAGGAAGCCGATATTTGTTACTGGCCTGGATTATTTGTTGCACTACCTGAATAGGACCCATCGACTTGACACACTTCTAAATCCTGCCTACTCATTCCTCCGGGCAGCGTAAAGTCCAGTTTTCTAGAAGCCTGTTCTCCGGTACTTTCGTGAAAATCGCGTAGATGATTGATAACAAACTGTTATGAGTTTCATCATATATTACAAAACAGTTATTCCATAGCCGAATTTTGGATATCACGGCAAATAACTCTGGAGGGTATTTTCCTGATTCACAACGGTAGTCGTTAAGGTCTGAAATGGCTTTCAAAATGTCAGCTTGGATGTCTGACTCAGAGGATTCTTTTATGAACAATCTGCCTAGGACAGTAGTGCTGTGATTGAAAGGTTATATGTTTAGATACTTTTTATAAATGTTAACGCCACTTTGAATTTGCCACTCATTACAGAGTATATAGAAATGTCTGCAATGTACTTCATTTGCTTCATTCATCAACAAAAAGGTTGAGCTAACGATGTCTAAGAGCATCAGGCTAAACTCGGTCCTCCTCCGGTTCACTGCGTAGATCTTAATCACCAGTTGAACGACCTCATCCCGCTGGGTTGGTATTGTGAAGCACGTATGAACAATGACATTCTCTGGCAACTGTGGCCTTCATACAATGGTGGAAGACAATTTCATATGCATATTGCAATTTTTTATAGTTGTAGAAAGCAATGTCCAGCGACGCCTGCTCGAAAGATAATCACTAGGAGAGGAAAAATGGCTCTGTGGCAACGGTGAACCAGATAACCGGGATTTAAGCTAAATCATTTTCAAAAAAATATTAATTTCAGTCTTGTTTCTATTCATTAGGCGATACATTAGTCATTCTTAACTGACTATCGAAGTCGAATTGCTAATGTTTAGCTCATTCTTGCCGTCGATTCTTATGTTTTGCTCAGACGGTAACCAGCTTAGCGCGTTATCCCGCCTCGCACATCCTGGTTTGAGCGATTTTTCTGTGTTCAATGATGGTGTTTTACTTATTTAAGTCGTCCCTTTAATGGTGCCTATTTGCATGTTCTATACCTTTCCACCTCTCTTCTCTAGTTTCCTTTCTTTCCTCCTTAATCTCTATCTTGTTGTCCCTCAGTATTCCTCGCTTGATCGCAAAATCAAGCATTCTAGACCAGCTTTTACACCGTATGTGGATAGGAAAATTCGCATGGATGTCCGCCTTCGTACCGAGGTCTTATTTTCGAAGTATTATTTTGAAAGTAAGGCAAACTAGTGGCCTCCCAGCACTGTTGCTTCACGGCATACTGTTGTCGTTCAAGGTTCAAGCTGTTAGACTTCGAACTTCCATATCCATACTGTTCTTGTTGCTTTGTTCTTCGTCGTCTTTGCTTTCGCCCCTGTCACCGTTGCCAAGCATCAGTGGTATGTGTCTGCTCGGTGGCGATGGCCTGTTTACTTGGTAGTCCTAATTTACGGTCCATTGTTCACGTATGTCATATTGTTTGTTTATGCGGCTAGTGGCTGTCGCCTGTGCCACATCAGTCAATCTCGTTCGACGAATGTTTCGCTGCCAAAAGAAACGCGTTCGCCAAAAAGCTGTATTTACACAAGCTGCTGCCAAGCGTCCTTCGTATCCACCAGCAGCGTTGCGCCCACGACTACGACTTTACTTAAGAGTACATGTTTTTTAGCCGACCGCCGCAAAGTGAACGCTGACTAGATAAAATAAAATATCTGGTTGTCGTCGTTACCATCGTCAAGCAAGAGTGGCTGCCGAGTCGTTCGTTCGTCCGCTCGACCGGTCGCACGTCGTCACTCAATTCCTCGACTCGAAAATTTAAGCGCCGACCGACCCTCAGCATCGACGCTCGGTTGTGAACTCCGGTCCAGTGAGGTCCGGTCCGGTCCGGTCAGCTGAAGCACTTCGACCGCACCCCGACCATCAAAACATGGCCATCTCGAAGACCACGGCGCTGTACGTGGTGGTCGGCTTCTTGAGCCTCTCGACGGTCGCATTCATGGTCGCCGTCATCGTGATGGCTTCCACGCAGAAAGCTTCGCCGGCACCGCCGTCACCAGTCCCCAAGCACAACGTGTCCGATCAGGCCGGATGGATCGCTGCCGCAAAGAACATCCGTCTGTCGATCGATCCACGAGTGAATCCTTGCGACGACTTTTACAAGTAACTTCATTCGTCGTGTCCATAGTTACTTGGCAACCTCGTTCACAACACGCCATCGCTACATGCATTCTTTCAGTGATACTAGTACGGTCTGAGGGAACGACGCAAATTCATAATTTCGTAAAGCGAGGAAAGGCCTATATACAAATCAACGCGATTAACAGATGTCATTTCTTGTTTTACGATGCCAAGAGGAAACCCACCGGCCATGTGCCTCATCTGAGAGATGACTGGTGGAGGTGAAAAACGATGAGCTGAGTTCCGCTAGGCCAAGAACAACATGTGACGATCCGATTGTCAAATCACTTAATTTACAATGGAGGCAGAAAACAAGAAACAGATAATTTTCAGGGAACGTCGATGCACTCATGGCACATCCAAAAGGGGTACAACTCGGATTACGATTGAATCGAGGTGATAGGCAGGAAATGCATGTCACTCGTCTATTCAGATGGAGGAAGTAGCAGCAACAGCAGACAATGTTGCCAAAGTTTTCGTCATTTCTCTAGTACCTCAGCTTCAGTATGAAACACTCCCAGTTCCTTGCATAGTTAATAGATACTACTGATCGAAGGCGCTTGCGCCTCCTCTGGGGTCCTTTAGCCTATCTGCTGAGCAAGAAACAACTATTGGGTAATGGGTTTGCAATGGTATTCGTAGAATATGCTCAAATTGTCGAAGTTTGATTTTTCTCGCATGAACAGCAGTGGCTGAGTTCCAAATCGATCCTGCATCACCAAGCGATGATCGGTGTGCAGGGGAGGGTGTAGAATGCACTTTTTCAGGAAGCCTGTTTCGGAAAAAGGTAGTCATCACAAGTAGGTTTCATTTTGGCCATAACCCTTGGTTTATGGGCAAGCATAGAAACCAAAATCGATACGTGCACAGCTTCGTTTTCAAACTGTACTCCGCCTTTGCCACGATGACTCAGGGCAACTTTACAAAAAAACTCGGTTAACGAGTCATACCTGACTCAAGGTAAATGAACTTGTTCACCTGTTCACTGAGTCTCGTTAAACTCTCGAATTGGTATGGAAGGTGATTGAAAAATCTTAATGGTTAGGCTTT